AAAGTGATATGGACATATAATGCGATAAAGACCTGCCTGGAACTACTTCAGCCATGCATTTCCCTGAAAATAACTGCACACCTTAGAACGTTCATCAACCAATCAGTGAAAACCTATTTTAACACAAATAAAATAAGATATTTCTCATTTCTTTATAACCCGTTCAAATTTGAAATCTATTTAAAATGAAAATGGTTTCTTTTTTTAAATGTTATTTTGCAATGCACACTAAACAGAGCTATTAAAGCTGTGAAATCATGTGACTAAGTCTCTGTTGGTGTTAAGTAGTAAGTCATGGTTACACAAATGGGACACAAATTACACCGTGTCCTGAGAATGACCCACCTTTGCCTCTCTCACTCACTGTTCATCCCACTGTCATGTATTTTAATAGACTTTTCACTTTGCAGCTGATTGCCGTGGATGAGTTTGAATCATCTGACTGTGATCCAGAGCAGTGAGAGTGCATTCTGTTGTTTCTAGCTTCACGATTGATCATGCTCTTTCTAGCCATGTTAACTCCAGACCTCATCCTATAGCTTTTGCTTTTAGCTTTTCAGGATTTGCTCTGGCCTCTCAGATAAGTGGATCAAGCCGTAAGCTGCTTTGCTGTGTGTGTGTGTGTGTGTGTGTGTGTGTGTGTGTGTGTGTGTGTGTGTGCTGTTTACACACTCAGCAGTTTGTTCAAATTCTGCAACCAAAATCTTGTGACATCAGTTAATAGAATGAAATGTGCACATAGTGGGAATTGAATGCTGCAAGGTGGTCTTTGTGTGTATGTAGAGGTAAAATGTTCTGGGTGTTTGTTGCGAATCATCGTCTAGCACATAGTAGCCTGGTTTGCTTTAATTGTCCTTTTCTGTTTCTATTTCATTCTGTTTCACACAGCAAATGGGGCAAAGCACACACAGGGAACGTAACAGTGAGTGTATGTATTGTAAATGAGCTGTTCTCAGCAGGTTTTGCTTCAGGACCCAGATATTAAATTGGATTTCACACCACAATTACATTGAAATTTAAACAAAAAAGACCTTCAAATCAAACATTGAAACCTGACATAGGAAATAATATATTTTTGAATGGATCAGTTCATTGAACTTAAGAAATTTAAAAAGAAAAGTTTTTGTTGCGCATTGTATTTGATACATCAGGCTTCTATGGCTCATAGAGTATGATATAGTGAGAATATGTAGCTCATACTCGAGAAGAAAAAACACCTACATTTTATTCTGTAGCCCAAAGTTAGCAAAAATATACAATTTGGTGCAGTTGCTGAAATTTATGTAGCGAAAATAAGATGAAATTCTGTAATGTAAATCAATGAGATCTTGGTAACAGAAGAGTACTTGCATGTAAATATCATTTGTATGACAACCTCTGTGTACTTTTTGTGCAACACCGTTTTTACGTACCTTACTGCACGTTTCGCCGCAATTTCAAAGAGAAATGTCCACTGAGTGGCGCTAAAACACAGGTTCAATACGTGAACCCTGGTACGTTTTTATTACGTTGATATAGGTACGTATTGCTGTGTTTTTATTATGTTGCTTCTGGTACGTATTGCGGCGGTTCAGAATTCAAATATCCGTGGACTGTCGCTAAAAGTTAATGCTCTATCATGTTGGAAATATGCCCTACACCAAACCCAACTCTAAACCTACCCGATAGTGTTAACAAATGCAAAACTGATATAAAAACGCATTTGTTGATGCAACTGTGCCATTTCAACTTACTTATATGCAGATTTTGAACTGTTTTGTCGAACCGTGGTTACACTGGATACGAACCGGAGCTCCTCGCCTCTCAAGTACTCCTCCGTACTCCGTGAGCTACCGAACAAACCTACCGTCAATGAAACCCATAGATATGAAGCTGGATAAGTGCGATGCTAACGTTCAAAAGCATCAGTTTTTAAATCTCCCAGCATATTGATATTGTTTTGAAGTCATAACATGATATTCTTCAAGTAATTATGCGAAAATGATGCTTTATTAATCGAAACTCTCTAAATTTGTATGAAAAGGAATAAAAGGTGTCGGAGTTTTACTGCCTCTAGTGTTCATTTATTTTGGAAACTGCAGTGATATGTACTTACTGGTACGTATTTCACGTCTCGCTAAAAAGTGGCCCCAGGCACGTTTATGCCATGAGACCAGGTAGAAATATCCCCAATAAAATGTCTTGACCCACATAGGTCAATAAAATGTCAGTAAAATGATATTCAAATGCTTAGTTTAATGATCGAATCTCTGTAGTTTTTATTGTAGGGGCCAAACATATAATGCAGTGCAATACAATGACGATTGAGAGATCATCCTCAAAAGCCTGTTGTGTCATATTTGATACTCACATTATAACATGATTTTTCTAAAAAAAAAAAAAAAAAAAAAAACAGTGTATGGATAATCAAGTAAACCTAAGTTATTCATCTTGAAATATTACTAACAATATAAAAGTTATTCTTATTATTACTTTATAAAAATCAGTAAAGATTTCATAGTAAAAGATACATGAACCACGATTTGAAGGGGGCTTTTTTTTTCTTTTTAGAATTATATTAAAAATATTTTTACTTGCTAAAAATATAAACTATCAACCAGACTGTCTACAACAGGTTTTTCACTAAAGTTTTTATCATGTTGATCATTTAAATGCCTTAGAAATTTGTGTATCAAATATTATACAGTAGGCTTTATATGGGGTTAAAAAATAGTGGTATAAAAACTGGTTATGCATACAGATTTCCCCATTTGATTCAGTTCTGATTAATTTGGGTATATTTCTATTACAATGTCTATTTTGATGGCATTATAGAAATAATTATTTCTGCTAATGCTGTAAGTTATACGGTGCAGTGTTTCAGAATTATTCAAAACAGTATCTAATATTTCTGAACTATTCTTTAAAAGAACCAAGTCAAACGAGTCATATGTTTTGGGACTTGAGCTACACTAGTTGCATGCATGATTTTTGATTCCCTAAAAATTATTGTCTGAAAGAGTTGTTTGTTTATGTGCTGTAAAATGACAACAGCCACAGAGTTAATGATCGATCATGTGATTGTTAGAATCAAAATTGGTTTCTTAATGCTTCTGGAATTTTTTCATGGTCATATTATTTGCACTTGACATTGTTTTTTTTAACCTGATCCTATTGGAAACAGGCCTATGACCCCTTTTTGGGTCGTGACCGACCCCTTGAATCCTAGTCTAAGCTGTCATCATTGCTTGTTTGTGTATGTGGAAGTAAGACAGATCAAGTCTTGCTCACTGTCTGTCTCTCGACTCACAGAGCCATGATGTGACGTTTCCTGTCTTCTCCTTTAATTAAAAGTCTCTCCTTGCCTTTGACATCACAAAAGTCATCTTTAATAAACCTCTGCTCTGTCCTGAGACTCCAAACGGCAGGGCGGCAGAGAATGTTCTTCTTTAAGAGGGTAACTAAAAGCATTTTGGGTGTAGAAAGCTACTAGAGTAAACAGAGCTTACAGAAGATTAGCTGCTGTTTGATGCTGGTGGAAGTGCGTCTGTGCCCTAGTTGCTCTGTTGAGTTTGTGTCGATCAAAGGAGCCACGGAGCCTCTTTTCTCCTCAGCAGATGGAGGCACGTGTTCTAATTGCAGCAGAAGTGGGCTAGATCTTTCAGAGTGAACTCAGAAAGGAACAAGAGTGAATAGGTCCTGCAGAGCACTTCTATGTGATCTTTTTAAACAAAAGAGCAAAATGAGCGCTCTAGTGGGATGAGGTCACATTAGTTATTTAATGTGATGTGTAGATATTTTATGTGTTGATTCTGTAACCCACCGACATTTAGAGTAAAAATAAAGGTTCTTGATTGCAGTGGCGGCTCGTGGGTTTTAAAATAGAGGAGGCACACTAATTGTATTGGTCTGGGATCCCTGCCGATTATTATTATTATTTGCTTAACCACTCTGAAAATGGCTTTTTGGTTGCTTTTAGTCAGAAAACGTAAAGAAAACGACATACATACAGCAAGATAATATAATTTCACTTACCTGGCCTATCACTTGAAGCAAACATCCATCCCTTCTTAAAAGTCTGTGTTAAAAGAGAGCTGCCTGTTGCGC